AGCCAAAGGCAGCCACTTAACCGACTGAGCCACCTGGGCGCCCCCCACACTATCTTATAATAATGTCTCTAAATTCCCTAGAGTGGTTTACCAGGCCCTTTATATCTGGTCATAGTTTACCTCACTAGCTCTGAGTTTTAATTTTTGCTCCTTCCTATTAAATGCTTTAGCTAAATGGGAACTGATTCCTTGATTGCTATGAAATACCTCCTCCTTGGCCTGGCCCAGTTCCCTCCCTCTCTCTCTCACAGACACTACCTCCTCCAGAAGGCTTCTCTGACCCCAACCCCTCTGTGGTCATAACACACAGTTATAGCACTTACCACATTTTAACTATTTATTAGTGTGTGCAGCCTATTAGACTAAACTCCTTGGAAACAGAGACCATATCTTCAGCATATGGGAGGTTCTCAAAAAATATTTACTTACTAGTATTAGTAGAAATAATAGTAGCTATCATATATAGAATGCATACTCTGCACCAGACACTGTGCTCAGGACTTTACACAACAATCACACAACAATCCATGGAATCCGAATAAAAGTCTAAGGGCAAGTAACACATGAGTGCTTACCACATACCAATAGTGTGCTAAGAGAAACATTATCTCATTTAATCCTTTGAATGGCCCTATAAAATGGGTACTGTTATTCTCTTTTACACCTGAGAAAACTGAGACTCAGAGACTTAGTCATAGGAGTTGAAAAGAGAATCTGGGTCTTTCTCACTCAGAAGTCTATGCTTTTAACTATTATGATATATAACCTCCCCAACTAGCTTCTATTTTTTCAACCTCTACCCATTTCATACAATCCTGAATCAGGTTCTGATACGTGCAAGATTACCTCATTTCATAAAGGCGGGGGGAAAGTCTCAGTTTCCCTTTGAATTGTGCAATAACTATATTTTGTTCTCTGTTTGGACCCGAAGACTCACCTTTGCCATCACCGCCTGTGGACCTTTTGTCTTTGCCTCTGAGCTTTCTCCTTTTTTTTAAAAAAAAGATTTTATTTATTTATTTGACAGAGAGAGACACAGCAAGAGAGGGTACACAAGCATGGGGAAGTGGGAGAGGGAGAAGCAGGCTTCCCGCGAAGCAGGGAGCCTGATGCGGGGCTCGATCCCAGGACCCTGGGATCATGACCTGAGCTGAAGGCAGACGCTTAACGACTGAGCCACCCAGGCGCCCCTGAGCTTTCTCCTTTAAAAGGATGCTGAGAACGTGGTTTGTAGTTTTAGTACAGAAGGCCAGCAACTCTTATATTTTAATTCAGAGATTCTTTCTCCAGAAAGACTATACTATTTAGCCAAGCATTTAGTTCAAGGACAGAAAAGGTCAAACATCAAGAAGGAGGGGACAGATGATTAGATGACTGGATGATATATGGAGCTATGGAGCAATAAATGAAATATCACAGCCAGAGTCACATCACATCAAACTTTTAGGGTCCAAAGCAACATTTCTTAACCAGTTTTCTTTTCTGTGATATAGAGATAACAAAAGCAACCACTTTGTGGGATTACTGTAAAGATTAAATGAGTTAATACACTACACATGAAGCATTCAGAACACTAACATACATACATACCGTAAGCACCGAATAAATCTCTGCTTTATTATTATAGCTGGAGTTACAGACTTCTGAAAAGCTAATGAAAGCTACAGATCCCTGAATCCATAATTCTGATCTAGAGTCAACTTCATGTTTAAGTGGAGAGAAAAAGTCAGTGAAGATCCTAAATCATGCTAAGACCCAAGAGTCCAGAAATGGGGGTTTGGGCGGAGTGGTCCAAGTAGGTGGAAGTTTCAAAAACAAAACCTGAAAATATGAAGATGAACTTACAGAATGAGGAACTAACGAATAACTGCACAGGAGACAACTTTATTAAATTTTATAAATATAAAATACATTTGTATTCCACCTGTTGCTAACAGTAACTATGTTCAACAAAAAGTGAGAGTATTATATTAGCTTCAAAGACAGCAAGTGATGTCAATAGAAAAGACAGTGTGATAAAACAGGTACCAGAGGAAGAAAGCCAGTATGACTTAGAGAAGTGTCCGTAAACCCACCGGAGGATTGTAGACATTTGTTCTCGCTCCCCCCCATCTTCCCTAGCTCTGGGAGTCCCCACCTTTGGAGGATGGTCACCGGTCAATGTCGCTACTGCCCAACCTTTCCCTTCTCCTAGGGAACCCACATCACTCACAACTCCTTCCGGAAAGTGCAGAACAAAAGACCGGAGACGAGGAGAGACTGAGGGAAGGAAGCTAATACTGAGTACCTATGATAACGGCGAAAGCACGGTGCTGGCCCTGTCATATACAACTCAATTTAATTCGCGGGAAAAGACTTCCCAGAACGGGAAAAGAGGATGAGGGGGGAGGGGCTAGTAGGTGAGAGAGAGGACTGCAAACGACCGGGGAAAGAGATCGCTAGCTAGGGCAGGAGGAACGAAGGCTAGAGATGAGGACAGGGTGGAAGAGGGGGCCGAAAGAGAGAATGGACCGTTCGGTAGAACGGAACGCCGGCGGGAGGCGAGCTGAACAAGACGCACGGTGTCATCCACTTACCTTGCTACGCCCCCCGGAGGCGACGCGCTGCTGCGAGCTGGGGGCCGGGAAAGACTGGGAAGGGACGTTCAGCATCCTGGACCCCTGGCCCTGGCCCGGGCCCTGCCCGGGGTCCGCCGCCGGACAGGATCGCTCAGCTCTACCCCTCCAGGGTAACACCTCCCGCTCCAACTCCGAGGCCGGGCAGAGGGCAAGCCCCCGGCCCACTTCCGGGGTCGCCGAGGGTGAGGCGCGCCATGACGCAGCACGTCGAGGCCGCGGGGGGTGGAGCCAACGGGACGAACGCAGCGCCGGAGGGGAGGAACCAGACCCAAGTACGCGTGCTGCATTAGCCCTGCACCCTGAATTTCAGCACCGCAGTGAGGTGACAGCTATTCCGTGTTCGGATTAAAGACAGAGCGAAGCTGTTCCTTAGCCGTGGTGCTGACAGAATCTGAGCATAAATTCTTTCAGACTCCTCTTAACCCAGAACACAAATGTCTGTTGTTATGCCCCACCTTCACACGGCTTGAAATATGGAATAAAATAATACTATCAAAGCATTTTGATTTCTCTGAAACTCTCTCCTCTAAAGCACCCGGCTGTACAGGAAAGAGAACTTTTAAGAGTTAGGGCGTCAAATGCAAACAGCCACAGCCACTCTTATGAGGTGAAGCTTCACCTTTAAGAACCCCCGCTAATGACAAACGAGTCAAAGAAGCTAGTAAAGTCTCCTGCTCCATTCACCCACTCACAAGTTCTCCCTCCTCATCTAACTTCTTGTCTTTGCTGAAAGCTACAGGGAATTGTGTACAGATACAGCCCATCCCCAGATGTAGTGACGAAGAGTTATGTTTGTCAGATAGGTTTAGTTTGAATGCCATCTCTGCATTTAATAAATGAGCAGACTTACACAAGTTATTTCAGTATCTCAAAGTCTCATTTTCCCCCTCTGCCTAATGGATTTAGGTTTCAGTAAGAATTAAATGAGATGTCATATGTAAACTACCTAGTACAGTGCCTGGTTAATAGTAGGCACCCAAAAAATGGCAGTGGCTTGTCATACTATTCCGACATATTGAAAGAAGCTCAAATACTGTGCAGCTAAAAACAAGTCCCTAATGATCCAGATTGGTGACCTGGTGGGTTTTTTTGCATAGCCCTTGGGGAACACACACATCATGAGTGTAGAATCCAGTGAAGGGAAAGTTTTCAGAAGAAATACAGTTCTAAATAACTCTCCCTGTCCACCTGCCATTACTAACTTTTCCTGACTCTGACACATGATTTAAACTTGCTCTGTTTCAACTGCCTTGTCTTTAAAGTGCCTGTAAATCAATGTTTGTAGTATCCTTTCAATTAGAAGGAAAAGCGTGTGATCTATGTAGCCATTCAAGTAAGAGGCATTTCTTAGCCAGGTAACCATCTCTGACCTTCACCTCTACCCATCATGATTCTGGGATACTAAGAAACATTTGCAATGAAAATGCTTATTGGGAGACTGCATTAAGCTAAAGAACCTCATGACCATAGTCTAGGTTACCTCTACCTTGCAATGTGCTCCTGTTTTTCTCTGTCATTAAATGGTAATGTATTCTTCTATAAGTCTACATTTTAAAAAACTAATCAGAGAATTTCTTATTTCACTTCCCATGAGAAAATCTGTACATGACAATATCAGGAGCAAGGAGCCAGAACAAAGGAAGGTGATGCTGTTGAAGAATGTTTCATATCTGCCAAATGTCTTAGCTCCCCCTTAGACAGAAATAGAAAAAGATCAAATTCTAGCCTTTTGGCTCTCCTTTTTTAGACTCCATATAAGTCGTGCTCACTTAAACATTTCTTTTTAAATTCTGGGGATCCCTCAATGAAGTGCTCTAATTATTGAACACAAATGCTATTTTACTACTAGATTTAAGGGCGGCAGAGGAGTATTAAAGTGATCTTGATTCATCATTCATTAAAAATCCCTAAAATTTAATAGCCATGGCATTAATTGACATTCTCAATTATGGACAATGATTTAAAGTGTTTTTCACAATCTGCTAGCAAACACATAATATTGTGTGATTGGTAGCATAAGGTGATTTTTTCATTATCTAAAAATATTCATCAGCAACACAATACCTAATGGAGATCAGTAGGAAATACCAGATGTTACAAGATTCAGTCTTGAAAATTAAATATAGTCATTCTTTGCAAAGTTTTAGCTAAATATTTGCAAAATTATAACTAAAATTAAATTTGTAATTTGATGAAGAGATCAAAAGTATCTTTTGTAAGCCCCAAATGTTTACAGTCCAATCAAGACATCCGTAAATGGCACTTATTTTTAAATTCCAACACTGAATTATAGCGTAGGGGTAAAAAAAGCCAAACTACTATAGAATTACAAAATATTTCATTTTATTAATAATTTATATACAAATAAATTAGTATGAAGGATTATGATACATTTGTACACTAAATTTAAATCCTATAAGCTTTGAATGTCATCACAAGTAACTAATCAGGTTAATTTTCACAGATCAGCTCCTCAATATCATCTTCACTATCAGAATCTTCATAAAATGAAATTGTGGCTTGAATTGGAAAATTTTTCAGAAGAGCTTCTGCTTCTTGATATAAGTAATCATAACACTTTGATTTTGGCCAAAATAGTCTGAAAGAAGCAGACAACATAATAGGCTTTATTTTTTTCACATTCAGAATCCTTATATTCATGAAATGTTCAAATGCTAAGAGCTCCACATACTTAACAATTGATGTATGCCTTTAGATAGTCTAAAAATACTATTATCTCAGGTGTCATGGGAGTCTACTCGCCAAAGTATCAATAACTAGTTAATCATTTTAAGTCTTTATCCAAGCTGTAAATTGGATCAAACAAATTCACACAAAACCTTGTGTGATAAATATTTAGATCACTTTAGGTATTATGAATATATTTATTCTCACAATATACAGATGGTTTGTCTTCCAATTTCCAAATTCCTTTGGGGGGAAAATGAATCCTACTATTACATTAAAAATTCTGAAACCCAGTTTTATAAAGACAACAATATATTATGCACCTTCCAGAAAAGCAGAAATCACCAGTATCTTGCTTAACTGTTAGTTACAGATGTAGCTAACAATGTAAGTTTAGAAGAGTACAAAAAGCAATATTTTGAAGTTTTTCTATGCACTCACACCAGGGCTATAGGAAGGCTTCCTCTGACCCCAACCTTGATCCCATCTCCCTCCCATTTCCCCATCCAACAAAATTGGAAATACCATATTGGGATATTGAGAATAATGCTGGCTTTTCACAACTTACATGTAACCCAATTACCTCAGAATTTCAAATTTTTGACAAATATTAATCTTGCCATCTGGTCTTCTATTATTTTCCTCCAAAGAAAAGAAAAGAAGAAGGATATGGCTGACTCACCAACAACAGTGCAGTCATTTTAGTGTAGGGTAGTTAGCCCCATGTACCCATTTATAACAGAGTGCTTCTAACAAAGAGAAGTTTACATTATATTCAGTATACTCAACTTTAAAAGGCAGAAAAGTAGGCAATATAGTTTATAAATGTTTCTAGCCAAATGACAAAAAAGTTTTAATTTTGGTGCCTTTAATAAGCAACCATCAATAATTCAGTCATTCAATAAATATTTTAGTGATCTCATGCCAGATGTAATTCATAATACAAAGATAAAAAAATCTTAGTCTCTATCCTCAAGAAATAACAGTATTCAAGACAGAAATTAATAAAAATAAAATAAACTTAAAAGTAGTATAAATAAATGGCTACAGTAGTTCAGAAAAGAAAGGGATTTCTTATACAGGAAACAGATGATTTTCCAATGCTTAACTAGAACTGTCAGATCCAAAGAATGTTGTTTAATTGTTACCACACTCTGCCCAGAATCTCTGACTGACCACTTTCCTTTCAGGGACTTCATACTTTCCTGAATTCTCCCCTGTCCCGAGTGATTCTTCTCGGTCTCCTTTGTGGACCTCTTTTTCTCTGTATACAGGTTGGTATTGGCCTTCCCCAGTGTTTTATCAAGAGTGATCATCTCTCCTCTCTCATTCTTCTGGAAGACCTGATCCACTGACATGATTTCTTCAACTGTTCATTTACTGAAGACTCCCAATTGTCTGTATTTCCACTTAAGATCTTGACTCTGGGCCCCTTACCTGTGTGTGTGTGTGTGTGAGTGTGTGTGTGTGTGCGCGTGCAGCTCTTTACTAGACATATGCATTTGGATACCCCCTAGGCACATTAAATACAATAAATGAAAAATTGGACTCGTTATCTTGTTCCCCAAATCTGTTTTAAGCCCTAATTTCCACTCTGTTTATACAGCATTCATCTGGTCATCTGCCACAAACTTGGACGCCATTCTGTCTTTTTACCTCCTCTTCACCTGCCATATACAATACATTATAAGCCTAATCTATTATGTCATCTAAGCATTCCCCAAATTCACCCAGTCCCATCCACACTTCCAATACCTTAGAATGGCTCTTTATCATATATTGCCTGAATTACAGTAACTTCCAATTTCATTTAGTTTTCTAACTAAGCCTATATACCATTTTCTTAGTGCTTTTTCTGAAACATAAATCTGATCACACTACCTTTGAGTAACCCCCAATACCATCCACAGAATAAAGGTCATGGGTTTCCAATGCCATATACAGGAATAGAACAAAACTCTATACCAAGGTGTACAAGATCCAGCTTATGGCTTACCTACTAGAATGACCACAGCTTCATGCACCCAAATTCCAGCTCCTTGAGGCTCCCATAGGGAGCCATGTTGTTCTATGACTCTGTATCCCCTCTATGCTATTTCTTCTGTCCCCTTTTTCTCCACCTACCATCCATCTGGCTAACTTCAAGCCTCAGCTATGTAACCACATCCTATCATACACACTTCCCAGATCTTTCCCTACTCCCTCAGGGAGAGTTAGGTACTTCATGTCCTTTACATACGGACCAAACTAAACTATTATAACACTTGCGAATGGGGTGTGATTATTTTTTTCCTGTGTCCATCACTAGGTAGAAAATTAATCAGCATGTATTGACTTCTACAAGCTATTTATAAACATATACATACAAATATCATACGCTCTGTATTTCACAGCTCTCTGAAGCAAACTGCAGAATGAACCTTTCACCTGAATAAAAGCTACAAAGATTTCTACAGAAAGGCCGACAACCCGTGGCTAGGAACCATAAACTAGCTCTTCATTGTTATGTCAAGTAACCTCGACCCTTCTTAGGAAGCTTCGTGATCTTTAGGATTTTCATTACACTTCATTTTTTCTTCCACGTCAAGCTCGATTTGCTGTAAAACCGCAACTATGAACACCAGTCTTCCTTCTGGTTTGCAAGAGAGTAAGAACATACACACTCTGCCTGCTGTGAGGTCAATTTCATTCGAACCCTTTAGCATTAAACAACACAAAACTGGTTTGCAGACATGAGATGTCACCGGTCGACTTTCACGATGCCATCCACTTTCCCTCTTTATAATATACTCTTGAAGAGTTTACTGAGTGGGCACTGATTAAAAGAACAAAATAGTTCTTTCAGGTGAGAGCGTGAACTACATTTATCAGTTCGTTGAGTAAAAGGCCTCTGGGATCCGTGAAGACAGATTTTCCCAGAGAGAAGAACTGCAAGGCCAGCCATGGAGCTACGCGCTGCGATTCCCGACTCTACCCTGGGCTGGAGGAGCGGGAGACCTTCCGTGAGGCCTATCACTCACCTGACTGGGTGTCTGTACTGGGAAAGCTTTCCGGAGGCTTCGGTCACCCCGGGGCCGTCCGGCATCTGGGGACGAAAGAAGATGAATCACAGTTATCACTCACCTTCTAGAAAGGTGGAAAGCGGTCTAGTGTTCCTCGCGCCCGCGGGGCATGTGACCCCCGGGGCTCTCCGCAGCCTCGCTCCTGGCCGGATGCGCGCGTCCGTGGCTCTGGAGGACACCCTCGCAGCATCAGGACCTCCGGTAGGGCCACGGGCGGGCGCGAGCTTAAACGAGGGGCCGGCCGGGCGCGTGTCTCCCTCGGGCAGGGCATACCCAGTCCGGGTAGCTCATCTGCCCTCCGGGGAGGCGCGGCTCACTCACCGCCTCCGCCGCGTGCTGCGGCGCCCCCTCCTCCTTGTAGCCTCTGGCGTCAACCCACGGTCTCCAGAAGCCTGCGGGTCTGCGGGCTGGGGGGCACGAGGCGCGCAGAGGAGACGGGGGCCCAGACCCGGGAGGACCGCCCGAAGCCGAGCGCGGCCCCGGGACCGGTGGGGGGCGGAGAGCGGAGGGGAGGAGCCGGGGAGGCGCGGGCGGTAGGGCCGGGGTGGGGGAGGCGCCGCCGCCGGAGTCCGCGCCCTCGCGCTGCGTCCCGCGGTCGGGGCCCGCGGGCGGCGAGCGGCGGCAGCAGCGCGCGCGCTCGCCGGCTCCGCTCGCCGAGGCCTCCCCGGTTTCCATGGCGCGGCGGGCCGAGCAGAAGGCGGCTGCCAGCTCGCGGGCTAGCCGGGCCTCTTCGCTCCGCCAGACCCGAGACCCGAGCTTTATATAGAGAGCCCCGGCTGCCTGCTGCATACTGAGAGGTTCGCTCCCTCTCCGCCCCTCTCTCCCCAGCTAGCCGCATAAACAAAAAGGTTGCGCGTGAAGGCGCAACGGGCTGAACCCCGGGTGCGAACGCGTGCAGCTCCCAAATGGCCCGGGAATGGGTTTTGTTGAGCGAGTGTTAATCGCTCTTCGACACATGGCTGCGGGGGAAAAAACAACATTCGCCCGAGCAGCCAATTTCCAAGTGAGGAGTCTAGGAGGCGATAAAATTAAGCAATTCTACACGTTTTGTGTATTTCTGCAAAAAGGCCAAGTGGCTGGTAATTGCTTGACTCGAGGCTTTTTGGAATGCGGTCAATGCAACAAGCTCTGCATCCCGTCTGCTAAAAGCTGGGATGCGGACTAAATTAAAAGAAATGGCCTTAACTCCCCTTTCCGGCAGAATGAAAGCTGGGTGAATGAACAGACTCCTTACGAAAGGAAATTTTCGTTAATGTATTGACAGACTAGGTTCTGCCTAGTATTATTTGTAGATTAAAAAAAAAAAAAAAGTGAATGGTAAAAGACTGAACCGAGACTGAACAGCCACGAGAACCGAAGATTGGAGTCATGTGATTTAGGCATAGAACTCTATATTATTTTCTCCTCTCTTTGTGATTTTCCTCAACATCTTACCAGTGTCCCCTGAAGAGAAGTCTTGAATTTCATGTATACACTTCAGTCACTACTTGGCATTTTGTCACTCAATGATAATTAGAAATTATTTTGTGGAGGCAGGGTGTGTGTAGAATGATAATGAAATCTTGAAAAGTTATAGGACCAGTTGTGAACCTCTCCGTAACCCTGTTTCTCTTATTTAAGTTGACCCTCACTTATTACAAAGATCCATTAAACTTGGTAAAAAGCGTTATGCTTGGAAAACATATATAGGAAAGATAATATATAAATGCCATAATTTTTTTCAAATGTTTTAAATAATAGAGCTGAGCTACTTAACAGTTGTAGATAAAAGCTTTTAATGCAAGTAATAGTGTCTCAGCTATTCATTCAGTTACTGTTTAGGAAAATAATCTAATTAATACTTAAGGATCTACCCATCAGGAAAGTGAGATATGGTTTGTTTCAGATAACGAAATCAGTAAGGATAGGTACCTAATGCATGTCTCAATGTCCTAGAATTATTGTTGGCTAAATAAAATAAAACTTATAGAATGCTTGCTACAAGGCCTCACACATAGGAAGCTCTCAACAATTTTAAGCTATGTTTAAAAAATGTAAGTCCTTAACAAGTGTTAAGCTGTCTGATGAAATGTTCATCATTTCGGTTTCATAGACATCTTTTAAGGTGTCTGTAATGTGGTAAGTACTGTGCTTTCGGGAGGTAATGGTGAATAAGGTATCCCCCACTCCCCACCCCCATCCTCAAGAGGGTTACAGTCATTGTGATCACAACAGCCACATAAGCAAAGGTGTTTAAAAGTGCCACATTCAATAGCAAAAGCACATTTTAACCAGCGAAGTGGTACAAGGGAGGGAATTGATAAATCTATTCGGGACAACCAGGAAAACCTTCTTAGAGTAAAAGAAACCTAAATTGGGATTTCTAGAAGGATCAAGAAATAGTGTAGTTTGTGTGTGTGGTGCAAGAGGGAAAAGAGAAGGAAGGAACAGTGCTTTTAAGGAGTAGGGATTGCTTGAGCAGAGATGTGGCTGAAGAGAGAGAAGGGCTTGGGTTAACAGGAGGCTAATATACCATGATAAAGCATTTTGGATTTATTCTGTAAGCACTGGTGAAATATTTTAAGCAGGAGAATGGAATGGTCAAAGTTTTAAAAAGACTTTTAAAAACAGGAGAATATTTTAAAAGCAGGAGAATGGAATGGTCAAAGTTTTAAAAAGACTGTTTTAAAAAGTTTTTAGAAAGTTTTAAAAAGATTTTATTTATTTAACAAAGAGAGAGAGCACAAGCGGGCGGGAGTAGCAGGTAGAGAGAGAGGGAGAAGCAGGCTGCCCATTTAACAAGGAGCCTGATGTGGGGTTCGATCCCAGGACTCTGGGATCATGACCTGAGCTGAAGACAGATAGTTAACTGACTGAGATACCCAGGCACCCACTAAAGTTTACATTTTATAAAAGTCTCTCTGGCAGCCATATGGAAGACAGATTTAGGGAAGGCTGATACTGGAAGCAAGGAAATCATTTACAAAATCATTGTCATAGTTCAGGCAAAAGGTGATGAGAAGATGTATAGTAAGGATGGAAATGAAAGAACATATTTGAGGGATACTTAGGAAATAGAATCTATACTACTTCCTGAATCATAAAATGTGGGGAGACATGAAAGTGGAGTCTATATATGCTCCCAGGTTTCTAACCTGGTTAACTAGGTAAATGGTGATGGCTCAAACAAAAACAGAGAAAACAGGGAATATAGGAGGAAGAGCAGGTGAGATGCTTTTAGGTTATTTTATTCAGGGAAAAAATAATGAATTTGGTTTTGGATCTTGAATCAGTCAGGTCAGGCTGGGCTATGCGGCAATAAAAAAGAACTCCAAACTCTCATTGCCTTAGAATATAGAGATTTATTTCTGACTCATGCTGTATTCCATTTTTGGTGGGTAGGATTTACTCCAGGTCATCTCCACATAAGGATACTAACTGATGGAACCTCTTTCCACTGAAACCATGCCATTTGTCATAACAGGGGCATAATTTTAAGGAATAAAATTAACAGATTTTTAAAGACTTAGTAACAGGTAGGTGGGGAAGCTATCAAAAGGACAATCAGAGATATGAAGTTCAGAGTTCAGTAGAGACTTTAGGACTAAATATTTAAATGTGGGAATCATAAGAAAAGAAGTAGTAATTTAAAATTGTAGGGACTGATTCATTTTCCCAGGAAATTTTGTAGCGTGAGAACAGGACCAAGGACAGAGCTCTGGAGAGCAACATTTGCTTGTGAAGTGAGAAGAGATGCAAAACAAAACAAAGCAAAACAAAACCTCCCTGAAAAGGAATGGTGAAGGTAGTACAAGGTGCATTTGTAGAACAGGTGTTGTGGGACCATGGAATGAAAGAATTCCAACAAGGAAGGAAAGGCCTAGGGCATAAGTGCCACCACGGGGTCAAACAAAATAAGGATGAATGTTCATTGAATTTGGCAAGCAGGGGTCATAAGTGACTTTAACAACATCTCAAGTATATGGAGAGAGAAGCTTTTTTTTTTTTTTTTTTACAGTAAATTGAGCTGTAGAGGTGACAAATAAAATGGTAAGTTGAGACTACCTTTTTGAGAGGAAAAAAGAGAGAAAAGGAATGTTGGGTCAGTAGAGGGGTTTTGTTTTTAGGGTGCAAGGGGCAAAAGAATGTTTATAAGATGAAGAGATGAGGCAGGAGTGGAGAGATCTCTAGAGAAAGGGGACTGGACAATGCTCCAGGTCCCCTAGGAGGAAAGAAGAAATGAGATCAGGAGCTGTGGGGAGGATTCTCATGCAGTTGGAGGGTATGCACCAGTGATTCCTCAAGAAGCAAGTTTAATCAAGGTGACTAGATCTGGCATGAAGAAGGAGGGGGTAATGGGATGATGAGACATGAATCTGAGAGAATATCAATTGTCTTAAAATTGTGAAAAAAAACTTGTAATTTTCCTACAAGTTACTGTGTAGGAAAATAATCTAATTAATACCGTAAGGATCTATAATGATCTACCCATCAGGAAAGTGAGATATGGTTTGTTTCAGATAACGAAATCAGTATGGATATGTACATAATGCATGTCTCAATGCCCTAGAATTATTGTTGGCTAAATAAAATAAAACTTATAGAATGCTTGCTACAAAGCCTCACACATAGGAAGCTCTCAACAAATTTTAAGCTATGTTTAAAAAATGTAAGGGAGAGCCAATTGACAAAAATATGGTAAAATGTGTATTTGATCAAATTCAAGTAAACTGAGAAGTAGAAATATATATTGCTGGAACTAGACCATTTATACATTTATCCATTTGTTCCATCTATTTATACTGATGCTGAAGCTCATTGCCAGTGTGGCCAAGATCAAATAACTTATTCATGTTACATTTATATTTAGAAATCTATATGAGTCCCACTAGTGCATTTAAAACATGTGCTTTTTTATTAAGATATAATTCACATTTAACATTATATTAGTTTCAGGTGTACAACATGATGATTCAATATGTGTATATATTATGAAATAATGATCACAGTAAGTCTAGTTTAACGTCTATCACCACACATAGTTACAATTCTTTTTCTTGTGATGGGGATTTTAAGATCTACCCTATTAGCAACTTTCAATATACAAAAGATTATTATTTTTTTAAAGGTTTTATTTATTTGACAGAGAGAGCACAAGCAGAGGGAGAGAGAGGGAGAAGCAGATTCCCTGCTGAGCAAGGAGCCTGATGTGGGACTCGATCCCAGCACCCTGGGATCATGACCTGGGCCGAAAGCAGCCGTTTAACCGACTGAGCCACCCAGGCGTCCTATACAAAAGATTATTAATAACTATAGTCACCAGGCTGTAGATTACATCCCCAGGACTTGTTTATTTTATAACTGGAAGTTTGTACCATTTGACAACCTTCATTCATTTCATGAACACCCATCCCCCACTTCTGGCAACCACCCATCTCTTCTCTGTATCTATGAGTTTGGGCTTGTTTGTTTGTTTAAAGATTCCACATATAAGTGAGATCAAATGTTATTTGTCTTTCTCGGACTTATTTTATTTAGCACAATGCCCTCAAGTGCCATCCATGTTGTCCCAAATGTCAGAATTTTCTCCTTTTTCATGATATATATATATATGTATATACATATATATTACATTTTCTTTATCCATTCATCTATTTGTAGATAATTAGATTGTTTCCATGTCTTAGCTTTTATAAATAATGCTGCAGTGGGGGTAACAGATACCTTTTCAAGTCAGTGTTTTTGTTTCCTTTGGACAAATACCTAGATATGCAATTGCTGGGTCATACGGTAGTTCTATTTTTTATTTC